CAAGCTTTTCTATGTATACGTTACTATATACTGTATGATTTTGTTATAGAAAGGTGTTTGGTGGGCGGACCGATTACAAAATGGCACATGTTAACGCCTAAATTTGGATTCTTACACTTGACACCATGCCAAGAACTTTCACTACAAGTTCACAACAACAGTCAACAAACAGTGACTCGTGAGCTTTCACCAAATTTGCATTCATACATCTATGAGAACACTCAACCTAGATATTAACTTTCTTCAACCGCTGATTGATTGTTGTTAAGAATTAAATTTCTTATTCGTCAAACATAATGAAAGTATCATCGTCACGTTATCATACAAATATATATGAAAATAATAATCATACACATTCATGCACATTACAATCTTTTACATAGTTCTATTCAAAAATAAAAATATTTTACGTGATTCACCCAAATTCGAATTACGTTCATGGAAAGAGATATTTTACTATTATATATCAAATAAGAAAATATACAGCGCCATAGATTTCAAAACCCCACACTCTTTTAATTCTTTTCTTCTTCCACTCTTTTGTTCTTTTCGTACTACGCATAAACAATCACGAGTCCCTTACATCTTTTCTCTCTCCTTACAACACTCACTTTTTAGCTCATTACATCTTTTCTCTTTGAGTAAACCTTTAAGTTAGGTCAAATCTTACCAAGATGAACATTTTAGTTTTAATTAGGTGTGCAACTTGGGTTGGGTAACCCGAACCCAATCCGAGCCCAATCCGATTTTTTACGCGTTTGGACAATTATTTTTATAATTAGGGTTGGGCTTTGATTGAAAAATCTCAACCCAAATTTAATTAGGGTTGGACTTGAGTTAAAGTGTTAGTAACTCAAGCTAACTCGAACTCAAATTCTAATATTATTTTCATATATATTTTTACTTTTAAATGCATTATATATAATATTTAAACTATGATTACTTTTTCCTTATTAACTTTTTTTTGTTAGATCTTAATTTATTATATGTTAACATTTAGGAGAATTAATTTTTTAAAAATTTGTTTATAATTTAATGAAAATTTACAAAAAATCTTTAAATTTTTTTCTTATTTAAGAGTAATTTAATCTAAAACTAATAAAGATCATATTAAATTTTGAAAGATGGATTGGACTTGAATTTAGTAGTTAAGGTTGAGAATAGGAGCTTAGGTTTAGTATTTCATACGATAGGTTGGGCTCAAGTTACACCTCAAACCCGTCCGAGTTACAGCTCTAGTTTCAACTTTCACTCACATTTGGAAGAGTGGTTCCATATTTCACTTGCATCCTAAATGTCAGTTTTTAGTGATGTCAGAATACTTTTTAGGTATAAAATGATTATATTATTATTTTGACTTTTTGTTGACTTTGTTTTATGTATAAATTGACTTAACTATCTCCAAGACCTATTTTAAATTACCAAAATATCATAAACTTTTAACTCTGTCTTATTCTTTCACTAAATGTGTATATAGATATATATATATTATACTTTCTTCTATATATATATATACTTTCTTCTATATATATATATTATACTTTCACTAAATATATATATATATATATATATATATATATATACACACACGTCACTTGACCAATCGAAATGCAGCAGCGACACAGCATCACCTTTGGCATCTAATCCTCCGTCCTCAAATCATCAGAAGGCTATGACCAATCCACGCTTGACACCGTTTCCTTCTTCAAGGAAATTTGAGCCGAAACAGGCATTCTCTCCGGTCTCCTCTACACTGTCGGCTTCTCTTGCAGACGATGCTAGCCTTTTAAGGGTTCGTGTCTTCTCGAACACAGCGGATTAATTGAAAAAAAAAAAACTATGGTTTATATAATCCATTTCTATATATATATATATATATATATATATAGGGGAGAGAGAAAGAAATAGAGTGATTTGGGGTTATGGGTTTGGTATATTAAATATGAGTATTTTTGTCATTTAAATTTATAGATATTTTGCATTAAATTGTATTAAAGAAAAAAAAAGAAAAGAAAGGTAAATGGATCAATTCACATATGTTAGAGCTCAAAAAGTAATTTGGGATGTAATTAAAAATTTAAATTAATATATTCTATGTGAAATTTGACCTAACTTAAAGGGTGTAAGTGTAATTTACCTTATCTTTTTTTATTTTCTCTAGTCTCTACCCAAACTCATTTATATTTATAAAGTTTTCAAATCCAATTTTACAACTTAATTATAAGAAGTTATCATATTAGTCATAACTCTAAAATATAAACATTCCAGTAAAAAAAAAAAAACATTTCCTTACAAATCTAGGCTATGTTAGAAGTCTTAAACGAAAAAGGAAACTAAATCGTGGACCCTAATTTCGAGGCGAAAAATTTTCCTTACAAATCTAGGCTCTTTTTTATTATTATTTTATTTTATGATACTTTATTTAAAGTTCATATATGTCCCACATTTTTTTTTAGGATAAGGATAAGTCATAGATTATGATAATCAATCATTTTCATCCAATGGCTTTCTAATAATTTTGTTAATTAGGCTCATATATGAAGGAAAAAAAAAAAAAAAAAATTCATAATCCACATTCGAAGAGCAACAATAATTTAACATTTATATAGATCCGTGTTTGGTCAGACTGCCTATATTGACTCCATTTTCTACGTAGTATTGATTGAATATTCCAAAAGTTGGTTCGTTTCACAAGCTATCAACAACAAAAAGTCAACATATGCATTCTCATTTAGTGAACTAATAAACTCTGCTCTCAAGTTCTCTCACCTCTATATATAAAGACACTCTAATCGTCCCATCACATACACACTCACACATACCTAGCTAGCCTTCATCTCTGTGTTGATTTCTCTTTCTCTCTCTAGAATTTTCTCTCTCCTCCTACAGATGGATATTCTCCCAGCTACCTATTTTGATAACTTAAAGAGATTCTGGAGGAGGAGAAGATACCAAAGACTGAATAATGTTAACAAGAAGAAGATGAAGATCCAAAGACTTGGCAATAAAACCCGGTATGGTTGGAAGATTAAATCGATCCCAAAGCTCCATTGCAAGATTGTTTCGCCAATGAAGCTTCTAACAAAGTTTCATGATGCTTATGTAGACATGATGATCCGTTTGGCAGGCGAGAAAAGAAAGAAAACTCTGAAAATCAGTCAACCAAATCCATTAATGGTCTCTGCTAGTGGTGATGAGATTGTTGATACCACCCAAGTTATGGAGATTTATAAGCGTTTGGTGTCCACCCGTGAATTAGCTGCATTATTAGTCTAATTTAATTTGTTGTCTTATTGTTTTTGTGACAATAATATGTTGAGAATTGTAAAGTTCTATATATATATGTGTGTGTGTATTTATGTATGTCACTTTTCAAGTGTAAGTAATATGAGATTTTCTATCCCATGTTCATTTTTCTGGTATTGAGTTGAGAATATATGAACCTTTGACTTAATAAGTTACAAACTTATAATTACATATATAGTCTCCATGATTAAGTTATCAATTTGAAAACCAATCCCCCAATTTCAAATAGTACTGAATTTTTCTTATAACCACACATAAGAAAATCATCATGAATGACTTTTAAAATCGAGTTGAAACAACTCCATCACTAATTTACGAGATCTTATCTCTCCGTTTGAATTTGAGTTATGTATATACTCCATGAGTTTGAGTTTTGGGACAAATTCTCTCAATACTTCTAAGATAAAAAAAATTAGAAGAGTTGTAGCCTTGTCACAAGAATTCCGTACATATGTTACGTCGCTTGAAGTTTGAACTAAATTTCTTTAGCTATTGAACGGTTTTGTATAATTTTGTTAGTGAGTGCGGACTGATTTCAAGCTTAACTTTTGTTATTTTTTGCACAATGCGAACACTTAAATTTGCATTCTTACACTTAAAATATGACACCTTTCATCACAACAATAATCAACAAACAGCGACCCGGGAACTTTCACCACTTTCACCAAGTTTGCATTCGCACTCTTGATGTATTTGTACATGTCAATATCTATGGGAACATGTAACCAAGCTTCAACTTGTATTGTATTGTATTCAACGAATTTCAGTTTACGTGTGAATCTTCATATGTGTAAAGACTATAGGTTGGACAAATGTTGTACCCAAAAATCCTCTTTCAACCCATCTAGAATGTATTATTTCTTGTTGATGTTGATTGATAACAAAATGGTGATCGACTACTCTTGATAGATAGCTAATGCTTCAAAAGTTAAAAAAACAAAGGTAATTTATACCTACTCTCTTTATCAATTACCTTGTACAGAAAGAAGTTTTGCATACTTAAAATTGATTTATTAATCGAACTGTTAATTTATTAATCCCTGGGTCGATCAAACTGGTAGGATTGACTTAATTTGGACTTAAATCACAGAGGACCAATCAACTCTTGGGAACAAAATCAATGGGGATTGAAGATATGTTATTATGTGATTTATTTAAAAAAAATTTTAACGATCACTTGCTGGTCACTTTGTTTAGTAGTTTATCTTTATGTGTATCGATATCGATACATATTAAGAAACAAATTTTTAAATGTGTATTATGAACAATATTACGACAACATTTATATTTTCTTATTGTCAAAGTTCATTCTAACTCGTTCTCGTAGGCTTTACCCATCATCCAACTTGCCTTTTCTCCCTAAATCATCTGCCTATACTCTCTAACTCTAACTCTAATTTTTCTTAATTTAGTTTTATCTTTATTAATTAGAAAGCACGAACAATTCTAATAGGCACATAGGCCCCAACGTATTTGAAGCTAGAAGTGTTTATTTTCAAGTTAAATACCATGGCACGTGACATGAACAATTTTAAGAAGGGTGGTCTTGTAATTAACTTTTGTAAAAGAATGATATTTAAAGTAATTTTTAAAATATATTATGAGTGAATTAGAAATATAATATAAAATTAAACACATGCATGCCATATGCATGCTCTAATTTTTTTTATTATTATTTTTATTTTTTCTCTCAATATCAGGATACTATATTTTTTTTCCTCCTTTCACAAACACAAGATATGCGTGCGAAGTGCAGGTAGCTCCCAGAAAATAGCAACTCGTCAAACACTTCTTTCTTTGCCCGAGGCTGAGATCCCCCATCTACAAAGTGAGTGCGTACACACACTGAAACACACACACACACACACACACACCTTTTTGACTGTTAGCTTCAAACTCCATACTTTCTCTCTCTAGCTTGAAAAGATACATACCCTCTTCGATCTCTTGTGGTGAAGAACAACATCAATTGGATTGATGATTTGGGGGATTTCATAGGAAATGGAAAACCCAATTCAAATTTCAGCAGCAGATGCAGGTGGTCCCTATTATCCTCTTCGCAACCACGACGACGTCTCTGTTTCCGATGATTCCAGATTGAATCAACTCGGTTACAAGCAAGAACTCAGTCGCAGCCTCTCGTACGCTCTCTCTCTATACCCACTTCAATTAATTAATGTATGTATATATATATATATATATATATATATATATTCGTGATTAATATACTTAGAATATTTCTACTGCATAATTCTGTGAGGTTGATGTTGACATTGCATTTGATTTCATTATTGCTAAGAGATCGATGAATTTATAATTTTTTTCCTTTTTTTTTTTGTTTTTCTTTGAAATAAATTTTACTCTGTTTCTGAAAGTTCAGAGTGAGAAAATTCAAAATTATTAAAACAGTTGATAGTGTTGCATGACAAAGTGACCTCCACATCTTTGACTTTCTTTATTCCGTTGGTATTTAAGTCAATTTAAGAAATTATGGGGCCATTTTATTTCTATATATTTCCACCTTTCATATTCTTAAATTTTGAAAATAAAAACTATAACAACCTTTTGATAAAAAAATATAAAAATTTTGGTCATTGAAAATTTTTTTTTTTATTTTTTTCAAAATTTTGATATCCACTTATCATTTGGGTCTGGACCCGGGTAGTTTAGGTGGCCCGAGTCTTAACGAGAGCATTGTGAGTTTAGATAGAAGAGAACGTAATAAAGGAGAGCTTGTCCCATATCGGATCTGGTTAAAAAAGTGAATGGAAGTTGTCTCACATCGGATCCGGATGAAAAAGTGAATAAGTATGTATGAATTAGATATTAGCCCCATTTAACAGTTTAGACTTTTAAATCGAATCGCAAAGTAATTACACAAATCGATTTTCAAAAATGACAAAATTTGACACTTTGACAAATGCATTGCTCTTTCTTTTTTTCAAGTTATTTTTATTTTTAAAAATAAAAAACATACTATATGAATGACTAAGAATGTGCATTTATATAATAAAAATAATAATAATGAATTTGTCTTGGTGTGTTTTGGTTTTATCTAGTGCGATTGCAAACTTTTCGGTAACTTTCTCAATCGTATCAATCCTGACGGGTCTAACAACAACGTATGGCACTGGGCTGAGATACGGTGGGCCCCTAACCATAATATACGGATGGCCCATAGTGGGTGTTTTCACACTCATTGTGGGCCTATCAATGGCTGAGATCTGCTCTGCTTACCCAACTTCTGGTGGCCTTTACTTCTGGAGCGCCAAACTCTGCGGAAAACACTGGGGCCCATTTGCTTCTTGGCTCACTGGCTGGTACGCTCTCTTTCTTTCCTTTTCTGCGCTTTGTGTTGTTGTACCTTTTTTTAAGTTGTGAGAATTATAAGCATTAAAATAAAGAAAATTGTTGTGGTCCCAAAACAAGTCCAAGCCCAAATCAAAGGCCTACTCTGTATTTATTTCAAATTGCAAAATTTTCCATTCAATTGGGTCAAACATATTGTGTTGTGATAAATCAACTAGTAGTGATACTTTGGTTGAAGTGTCCAAGTGAATTGCTTGACCAATAATTTTTTATTAATCCAGCATTTTACTTTGAATGATCGGCCTAAAAATCATTTTCGTTAATTAAAATCAATTCATTAGGTGGTTTGTTATGGGTCATTCAATTTGAATGAGTCCAATTCGAAATTGGCTTTAATTGTTCAGTTATCAATCAATCAGTCCATTGAGGTGATTAGTTAGACCATGAAATGTGTTTTCTTCATGAACATGTTTTAAAACGTATTAATTGTTCTCTTGCTTATCTCCTCTTCTTTCAAATTGAAAATTATAGTGTTCAAATGACAATGCGAAAGGAGCCAGATCCTCTGCTACAACACCTCGTTCCGTGACCTTTTTCAATGCACTTACATTTGTTTTCAACACATTTATTCTACATTTCAACACAGATAAAATACATTGCATATATTTTCAACACATTTTTTTGTGTTGAAATGTAGAATAAATATGTTGAAAAGATATATAAATGCGTTGAAAAACGCTACAACAAAGGATCCGGGCTCATGCGAAAGAGCCATAAAACACACGCACATATATATTAAAGACAACATTTGATGCGGTCAGCTAGGAAAAGCTATCTTCCAATTTGCAGTAATATTTTATTCCATATTTTTTTTCAGGTTCAACATTGTTGGTCAGGTAATTTTGAGAATTATCATGTATTGAAGCTTAACGACCTTCAACATCTACTTGGAGGCTGAGTTTCTTCTTCATATGAAAGTTTCTACTATAAGCTCTAATGGCTAGAGTGACTTGTTATGCAGTGGGCTGTTACAACAAGTGTAGATTATTCACTAGCACAGCTGATTCAGGTGATTGTTCTCCTCAGCACTGGTGGGAAAAATGGTGGTGGATATGAGGCCTCTAAATATGTAGTTATTGCAATCCATGGCGGAATTTTGCTCGTACACGCCATCTTAAACAGTCTTCCTATTTCATGGTTATCCTTGTTTGGACAGCTTGCTGCCGCCTGGAATCTCATAGGTATGAAGAATATCTGAGGCCTTTCACCTTGTTCAATTAATTTCGTGATATGCAGGGCAACCTTTTGATCGCATATGAATGGAGTCGTTGCTTGAATTCTCTTTTTTCATTCTTTTCTATAACACGTGATCTCTCCTGTTATATTTAACTCCTTAAAATCATTCCTAAGTTAATTTCGGATTCAACCTTTTAATTTGACCTTCAAATTCTATAAATGTTGACATTTTTAGGTGTTCTTGTTCTTATGGTTCTCATTCCCACGGTTGCAAAGGAGAAGGCTAGTACCGAGTTTGTTTTCACATACTTTAACACAGATAATGGGGAAGGAATCAACGGTAAAGCCTATATATTTGTTCTTGGACTTCTAATGAGCCAGTATACTCTAACTGGATATGATGCATCTGCCCATATGGTGAGTTTTGTTGTCTTGTTCATTGCCATCTCGAATTCTTGCTGCCTCTGATATCTGTAGTGGAAATCTTGACGATGCATCCATTTTCTGCGGAAATCATTTTTTTAAAGGGGAAAAAAATGACTTTAGATAAAACATGTCTAAACTTAAACACTCAAGAAAGTAATTAACTCAAATGTTGCATTTTGTTCAACCAGACAGAGGAAACCAAGAATGCAGACATGAATGGACCAAAAGGAATAATTAGTTCCATTGGAATATCTATAGTTTTCGGATGGGTTTTCCTACTAGGCATCACCTTTGCAGTTACAGACATCCCATACCTCCTGAGTGACGACAATGATGCTGGTGGTTATGTCATTGCGGAAATATTTTACCTAGCATTCAAGAGTAGATATGGGAATGGTGTTGGGGGAATTATTTGCTTGGGAGTGGTTGGCGTTGCCATATTTTTCTGCGGTATGAGCTCAATGACTAGCAACTCTAGGTAAACAAGTGTTCGTTGATTTCTTTTTATACGATATAAATTTCATCACATAGCAACTTATATGCTCAACATCATTCTCAGGATGGTTTATGCATTTTCAAGAGATGGTGCCATGCCATTGTCATCATTTTGGCATAAAGTAAACAAGCAGGAGGTCCCCATAAATGCTGTTTGGCTCTCTTCTTTCATAGCATTTTGCATGGCGCTCACAGTACGTACATTTCATATCTTTCTTAACTTCTGCATTATTATAACTATCTGTGACAATATTCATAAAATTTTCTTGCCTTCCATTAGTGGTTCTAAATCTTTTTTATCTGGTAGCAAAGTTTTCTGTTTTGATGGAGATCAATTAGTAGAAACAGCCTGCGATATACTTCTTTCATTTTTATTTACATAGATTCTATTTGGCTTTAGTACAAATGGATGCAATTTTACCTTCTATCAATAATAAAAATGTATGATTTTCAAGAAATGGCATACCTTTTTTTTTTTTTTTATATATATATCTGAGTCATCGACTCTGTTCTTGCCCTCTCTATCTGGTTCTTCTTTCAACTTTAATGGTCCTTGTTTTCTACAATCACTTGCAGTCTCTGGGAAGCTTAGTGGCATTTGATGCCATGGTATCAATAGCAACTATTGGACTCTATATCGCTTATGCCTTACCTATCTTCTTCCGTGTGACACTGGCTCGCAAGTCCTTCATTCCAGGGCCTTTTAACTTAGGCCGCTATGGGATCCTTATTGGTTGGGTTGCAGTTCTCTGGGTAGCAATCATATCTGTGCTCTTCTCTTTGCCTGTGGCCTACCCCATCACCGAGCAGACTCTCAATTATACTCCGGTTGCTGTTGGTGGCCTACTCATTCTCACTGTTTCTTCTTGGATCTTTAGTGCTAGGCACTGGTTTATAGGTCCCATAACCAACATAGATAGCTGAAGTATTATATAAGTTGATTCTGACTAAATTTATTTATTTTTCCATTGTCTCTTCCGATTTCGCTATTACATCAATGGCCAAAGCAAAAGTACATTAAATTCAATTAGCATTCTCAAAATGTTCCCATAATATATTATTTGAATGCCTTCTGCACTTTGTAAATTAGTACTATGTTAAGTTACAACTTAATAGATTAACGGACTGAGCTAAGCTACTGAAGAAAATGAATATCAGAATTTGGTGGTGTCTCTATCCATTCAGAAAAACTATCAATCTCACCTGCATTTAGCTGACCATTGAACACTTCAAACTCTCCCATCTGCCCACTATAATCTGTCGAATTTAACTTGCATGATGGGGTGGCAAGTCCTTCTTGGCTAGCATCACGAAAGTCTCTAGGGAAACTGCTTGGTTTTTGTGGACTGCTAGAACAAATTTGGCTCTGCACCGAGTCCCTTTTTTGTGTTAAGCCATGAAAACTGTTTGGAGCATTCAATTCTCGAGTGTACTCAAATGGTTTGTGCACGTTAGGCATCGCCTTGGTGTATTGGTACGTATGTACTGAATCGAGGGGAGAAGCCAGCTCCGGGATCACATAACTGAAATTCTCGGCATACCCATCAGGAACCTCCCCATTACTTGCCACTTGAGCTTTATTGAAGTTACTGGCATGATATAAATGTGTTTTCTCAGAAAAATTGGTAGATAGGTCTGCATAATTAACTTCGGTTGAGCTACCAACGCATAGATTAGGACTTGCCAGAGGGGCTGGAGGAGTGAAATCCTTCATAGCAGCTCCAATTCCGGAGTTGAGAATCACAAGTCCTTGTAAGCTCTTCATTGCATTATGTTGCTCCAGATTCTGAGGAAATTCATTTCCATTGTAGAATTGAAATGATGATCCTGTCATCTTGGATTGAACAAGAGGTGGAATATATGCACAAAAATCACTAACTCTTTTCACTCGATCTCTGTACTTCTGAAAGACAAAAATGGAAATGTTAACACCTAAAAGAGAAGAGGAAAAGGAAGAAGAACGCGTAAAAGTCACCATCCAAACGAAATGCCAATAATCTGTTAAATAAAGTTGAATTAAACCTGCAGATGGCTAGCAACATGTCGTTGAGTCATGTTTGGCACATTCATCATCTCTAGCACTGCCTTTGGATGAGCTTCTGATTCCCAAAAAAACAAACAAACAAGAAACAACACTAGAAGTTAAAACATTTTAATTTAAAAGGAAGCGTTATAGATCATCAAATTTTATGATATTGCAGTTTGAGAGAATAAATTTACGTTCTTCACCCAGCACACTGATGGCTTCCATGAACTTGAGATGAAGCTCAGGAGTCCAATGCATACGCGATTTTTTCCCGGTGTTGCTATATTCTCTCTCTTCCCTTCCCCCCTCTCCATCAATGGTTTTCTTACTTTTTGAAATACTTTCTTTCAAGTCACTCTTTAGCTTTTCACTTCCTTTTCCATCTTCATCATCAATCACTCTTCTCCTCTTGAACTCTACTACTTGTTTTCCCTTTCCTTTGTCCACCAATGCTTCTATGCTAATATTCTTTTCACTTATATCAGTCCATAAATTTTCATCTTTAACGCCTTCCAAGTCATTGCCAGCAGCCCCCCTAGACATTTCATGAATATTCGCGTGAAATTGTTCTTCTTTCCGGATTCCCATCCTTCTGCAACTTCTCTTTCGATACACGTGTTGCCATACGTTTATAAGATCCTGCGTACGAATTGGCTTCTCGAGAAAGAAGCATGCTCCTTCACCTAGGGCTTTATTGGCCATGGTCATATTTGCACCATGGGACATCACTGTATAGAGGTGAAGTTAGAAAGATATATGTGTGTGTGTGTGTGTGATTTGAGAGGGAAAAAATGGAATAGTGATGAAAAGACTTAGTAGAAAGGGAAAAGTTGAAGGTCTCACAAATGATTGGCATGTCCCTTTTAAGCAGTATGCACTTGAGAAATGTAAAGATGTCCATTTCTGGCATGCCAACATCAGCCATGACAAGGTCAAATTGGTACTCTTCTTGCTCAATCATTGACAATGCAACAGTTGCTAATTCAGTGGTTCTAACTGAAAGAAGACGACGTCACACAGTAAAAAAAACCATATGTATGAATTTCACAACATATGATTGGGATTCTAGACCTAAATCATAAAGTAATGTTACATAAAAGAGTCATTGGTCTCACTATATTTATATGAATGGAAAATAAGTGGTCACAACTCACGATAAGTGACGTTACACGATTTTATATTATATTGTGGATTATGTATCATTTTCCTACCTATAGAAGTAATATATAGTGAAAACTATTTGCTCCACATAATTAATATATAGAGAGAGATTGCCTGATTAATTTATAAAAAAATATATATAAATTATCTTAATTTCAACTAATTATTCAAGTAATAATAATAATAATTAAGATGCTTAATTTACAAAAATAAATAAATAAGCAGAAACTTCATTCCCTCCAAAACCCACCCATGATCCTAACATTTGACTACTTTTGTATTGACCATTTACCTATTTTCTTGAATAAATAGGTAAACCTAATGAATTTTCATTTGTAAATTAAACAACTCTTAATAGTAAAAATTTTCTGAATTATTAGCGTAAGTAGCAGGTATTTTATTCTTTCTAACGTATAAAATTTACTCTCTATCTTTTTCCATTCAGTCACTTGTGAAACTTTTGTGACTCCTACCTATATATAGAAATTTTTCTTGCTAACGGATGCATTATAATCCATGGTTAAGATTTAGTTTCTAGATCTCTCCACCCTCTGCTCACCTGGAATCTTCTCGCATCTAATACTTTTTACAAACTCTTTAATGTTCTAAATTCTTCATTTCTCTACAACACTTCATACTTTCTTATAGTTTGTCTTTTATATTATTGTTTGAAACGAAAATATAAAAGGCACAGGAAAAGAAACATAGTATACATAATTTTTTTTTAAAAAAATATTATACCCTAGCATATTTATATTTATATTTGAATTTTTAAATTTTTAAAATTTAAAAAGCAAATTATATTCGCACTTTTACATGTACAAATTTTCTCACCATATTTTATTAACTATGGGTGTAACACTAAAAATAATAAATAAATAAAAACCAATTCACAAGGTACCATGTCTATTGTTATCTCATCTAGATCTTTCTTGCAAAGAGAGTGATTAAGAATATCTAACTCCGATTATGCTTTAATTACAAATAGATTTAGCAGACACCTAAAAATCAATGTAAACAAAGTACAAAATGTGCTCGTCTAAAGAAATAATTCAAAAACTAGAAGCAATTAATGCATACAATTTCTCATCAAATTCTGATTACAAGTACTCTTAAAAAAAAACGCGGGAATATATATATATATCTATCTATATATATATTTAAAATAATTATTCTTGTTACTTGACTAACACTAACATGGATTAGTAATACATCTAAAGAAACAATTCAAAAACTAGAAGCAATTAATACATACGATTTCTCGACAAATTTTAATTTCAAGTATTCTAAATAAAAAACGCAGGACTATAAATTTTTTTTAAAAAAAATATTCCTATTACTTGAATAATGAGAATTTGTATAAAATGTTCATCTAAAGAAATAATTCAAAAACTAGAAGCAATTAATACAGACATTTCTCATCAAATTCTAATCACAAGTACTCTAAATAAAAAATGCCGTAATATATATAATTATTTTTTATATTCTTGTTACTTGAATAACATGGATTAGTGAATGTACATCTAAAAAATATTATCAAAAACAAGAAGCAATTAATACATATGATTTCTCGACAAATTTTAATTTCAAGTAATATGAATAAAAAACGCGGGACTACACATTTTTTTTATAAAAAAAAGTTATTCTTATTAATTGAATAACGAGAATTTGTGCAAAATGTTCATCTAAAGAAATAATTCAAAAACTAGAATCAATTAACACATACGATTTCTCGACGAATTATAATTAATTTCAAGTACTCCCAAAAAAAAAAAAAAAACGCGGGACTACACTTTTTTTTTTTTCAAAAAAACAATATATATATATATATATATTTTCTAATTACTTGAAAAACGAGGATTTATAATTTTTCTATTTAAATTTAGATCTTAAATGACTCTTGAATTAATTTCCTCTTTCCATATCTCAAAAATGTCATTGCAACGTCAGTACTCATGGCAAAATTCAGGATAACTTTATTTATTTATTTATTTTTCAAGAAAAAACATCATCCTCTAAAAATAAACCAAAAAATAATAATAAAAACATTATAAACATGCAGATCATATTCTATTTATGATCTGAAAATAACCTTAAGAGGAAAAAATAAAAAAAAAATAAAACTGAAATAAAAATCAAAGAACTGAAAATGAAAAAGATGATATATATAGAAGGATGACACAACCTTTATAAAGTTGTTCTTCAAGCACAGAAGCTATGTTCATGAGAGAAGTTGTGTCATGATCAACCACAAGAACACACATGCCGCGAGCAGCCGCAGGGATCAGACTGCTGTTAAAACTGTTGATATCCATTTTAAGTGAAGAAGAAGAACAAAAATCGAAGAAGAAGAAGAAGAAGAAGAAGAAGAAGAACAAAGTTTTAGAGACGGAGAGAGATCGACTAATGAATGAGGATATCTCTGTCACTTGTGTTCATAAAAACGCGTTCTAAAGTCGGGATAACATAACATTTGGGATACAAATGTAGTTAATAATAGTAAAACCAAGAACCAACAAAACTTGTAAAGAAGGACATATCTGACGACCAATTATATCTGAACGTATGGCAAAGGATTTGTTGGGCCGATCTAAGTGTCAATCAGTCATTGTATATCATGCCAAGTGTAATTAGCATTCTTTATCCCTAGTTAAACAAAGGTCAAGGATTTGTAAATTTTTTTCATCTTTTGTGTGTGTGTTTTTTCACATTTTGATAGCCCATTGGATTATTAACAGTAGTTTTTATATGTCTCAACTCTCAAGTCTCAAGTGAGTTCAGCATTTTACTGCAAACGCTGCTCAATTGCTTTAATGGGACCCACTTGACAGTATATTTGGTAAGAAAATCCGGACGGCTAATTAGGTTTTAAAGTTGTAAATTGTAATTGTCTCACCATTGTTTCCTTTCTAAAATACTTTTTAAGATTTTTTTTTTTTTTTTTCAGAAAATAAAAAACAATTTTCAGATAATAATAAAAGATTGTTCTCTGAAAATAGGCATTTTTATGACTGAGTTTTCAGAAATCAAAGTAGAGTTTTTTGTACAGTTTTTTAAAAACAAAAAACTATTTATAAAGTTACAAACTAAACAAGTCTTTAACCTTTCAAAGAACTAAGTCTGTACATCAAATTATCCAATTACAATTTTATTATGTACTTTTAGAATTATATTTTATTTTCAGAAAATTAAAGTAATTATTATCTATTTTAAGATTACTGAACCAAACATGTTCAATGTTTTTTACTACCATAATTATGCAAATCCTTAACTATTTATTGCTCTTTCTGTCTCAAATCCAAGTGCAACACTCAACTATCTCTTTTTCTCTTGTTAATTCTCTTTCGTTAATACAGACCTCCATTCAAAATTAGTGCTAACGAAGAATACCGAACTTAATTAACAAATTGTCATTTTCAACAACCTTTTATTAGAGAAATCAATGACTCCCGTTACTTTATTTCAGTAAAAATCACTTCAATAATAAGAGAGAGTCTCCTTTCAATGATCTAGAGAGAGGGGTCAAGTGCTTAAACTCCCCTAGTGTATGGCCATCCGCCCACCACCAATCACCAAGGCCCGAGATTTTTTAAAAAGAAAAATAATAAGTAGATTGAGAGTTAGATACATCGACCTTTCTTTTTTTGTTTTTGTTAATGTAAGTAATTAAAGAATTACTTCAAAATAACTTCATTCCCACTTTTTTATTTTCGTTTTGTTAATGCAAGTAAGGATTTACGTCATAATAATTTCATTCCCCTTTTTTTTTTTTGTATAATGTAAATAAGGAATTACGTCATAAAAATATCATTTCTATTTATATAAATGTAGTCGAATTCGTCCAAATTTTGAAACTCTCTGTCATAACTGTCTTTTGCTCAGTGTGGGCTTATTGGGCTTCTTCGAGCAAAGTTGTTAGTCGCTGTAGTTTAGGCTTATTATAATAGTTTTGGGTCCTTGAACTCTCATATTTTGGTCTTTTGGGCTAAAGTTTCGGTCCAATGCTTTGTACAGTTTCTTATTTATATGGATTTGTTTAACATTTCAAAAAAAAAAATTTAATTAGAAATTCTAATATCTGACATATATATTAGTGTCTCAATGCATGCTTGATTTTTAATTAATTAATTCTTTTGTGTGGTCCATAGATTTGGATTCTAAGGAAATTTCAAGTATAGCTACTAAAATGAATACACAAACACACAATTCTATTGGAAAATGCATTAATGACAATTGTTTATATAGTATGGATAATAAAGTATTACATATAGCCTGAGCTTCTAAGCCAATCCCATTGTACATGAAATTTAGGATGTAATTAGTGATTATTGTATAATTTAGTCAATGGCAAATTGCATTTACTCCCTCCCTCAACTTGTAGGGTTTTACAATAAATTTTTCTTTTCTTTTCTTTTATTTTTGTGTCAAAAAACTCTCTCCAAATAACCAAGGGGTGTTACTTATTGTCAAAAATACCCCTACCAAGTCAAGGTTTTTTTTATACAATTCGCCAAAATTTAAATAATATAGTAATATTATAAATAATATAATGCATATATAACCCACTCATAATATAATAATAATAATATATTATATATAATTTTATTTATTATAATAGATATAATTGGCCGAATTGCATAAACTCTCTCTTGACTTGGTGGGAGTATTTTAATAAAATATTTTAAAAGGAGTGTTTACTGTAAAACATTACAAGTTAGGGGAGATTTTATGCAATTTAGCCTTTGGTAAATATGTAGCATGACAACAATAACATGATAGCTATTAATCACGGGTCAGACTAGGATGTGATTTCTTTCCCAAAAAAAAAATAATTGAGAGTTTGAATCTGGTACGAGATTACAAAGCGGAAGAGAGTTGTACTTCTACCTTCTGGATTTTTAAAAAAAAATGGGAAGCTAGTTGGCTTATATATGATTGATACAGAGGCTTGTGATGTGCACATGCCCAACCACATTTCAATCCTATCACAAGAAAAATGAATCAAAGACTAGTTTCTATACTCACTACCTTTTTTCTCTATTGCTATACAGTATACACTATATATATATATATATATATATATATATAACTTGAAAAAGAAAAGGACCTTGAGTGAAATGGCAATAAATATAATGTGTGGTCTCTAACTGCAATGAAAAAGAACACTAAATGTTTTTTCCAAATAAATTAAGGTGAGTGAGAAGTAATATGTGTGGCAAGCTTAACAACCATGATAGAAAAAATTGGTGTTTGGCAATTGGGAAAATGTGGGATGATGGGTTATTCACCAAACTTATGATAATAGAATTGATGGTAGAGCTATATAAGCCCATAGAGGAATGGAGTTAGTTATAGTTGTAAAAAAGAAGCAAACCCCTCCCAAAGCCATAATGGTTCCCTTCCAAATTGGCATAGGTCTTAATCCCCATACTTCATGACAAGGAAATTGCAAATTAATCCCAAAACCACCACCACTCTCAATAAGCTTCCAACCCAAGCAACGCATGACTATCAAACAGCTAGCCCTATGCAAGACTCTCTCTCTCTCTCTCTCTCTCTCTCTCTCTCTATATATATATATATACACAACATTATTTTTCAGTTCAAACTGTTTTTTTTTTTTTTTTTTTTTTTTTTTTTTTTTTTTTTAAGTAAAATGAAAAATAGATGAGGGGACCCACATGTATTCTTCCAACTTGAAAAACAACAAAGATTAGAGGATCCAAAATTTGGCAAGTTATAGGATATAATCTTGATTTGGCCCTCTTTTAAGCAATGTGATGGGAAAAAATAATGAATTATTTGATGGAGCTAAGAAAATCAAATTAATTAAAATAATGATTCAGAAATTGAAAATCAGATTACTCGGATTCTAATTTATGTGAGTGGAATTGACTTCATCATGATATCATTAATATTCTGACCGTCATGACATCATTAATATTCCGACGTTAGGACATATTCACATCACATTCTACTGGCATAAAAAGCAAATAAAGAAAAGTTATGATAGAGAAAATAAAATAGATAGAGAAGTAAAATATATTGTTTGATAAGTTTTTTTTTTTGGTTAATGTCTTTTTTAATTTTTAGGCCAACACTTCTTTTCCTTTTATTGTTTGATAAGTTGCATGAGGTTAAGGGACTAAAAAACAAATTGATTATATATAAAAATATATATATATTATGGGTGGTTGTCAAGAGATAATCCCATAATCATTGAATTGAGAAGTTTCTTCCAATTAAATTTAATTCAAAATTAATTAAGGTCGTGTTTGGCGGTATGAAATTGAAACATGAAATTGGAGAAAATTTTGGTTCAATTTTCTTAGTTGCTTTTTTTCAATTACACCAATTTTAATTTTAAAGTTTCAATTCCACCAATTCTAATTTTAAAGTTTCAATTTCATACGTGTCAAACATAGCCTAAATATTTTTTAAATAATTTCTAAAATCTATATATATATATATATAAGTCATTGGGGGACACTATACCAGCATAAAATTAAAAATAAAAAAATCCCATGATGATGTTGGTCCAAACATCAATCAAATATGTAAGTAATCTTGACTAGGTGAGTCTCAAACATGCAACCACCATTTAGTCTCTTAAAAAGCACTCAATAGATTTTGAACCGTCCAATAACATTCAATTCAATCCCATTCGTAAATTTTTTGCTGAGCTCATCTGTCTAATACTTAGAGCTGTAATAATTTGGTAAACCTGAAAAGAAAAAGAAAAAGACAAAATAAGATGAAAAAGAGTTAGTCAATCTGAAATGACTGGAACACCCTTGGAGATGAGTCGGGCATTGCACTTGAGTGAGGGCAGTTTGGAGTAAATTCACATCATCGTAAGTAAACTGTAATTGAGATCTCGTAAGCTACGTTCTGTTACGTTCTGTTACAACTTACAAATACATTAACGGTTTCAGATTCGTTCAGTTGCAAGAAGCATGTTCCCTCCTTTTCTGTCACTAGCTTCCCCTATAAAACCACTCTCGACCTCCATCGCTCAGACTTGTTTCTCTCTCTAAAAAACACCTAGACTACGTGAGACTACGAACAACACTTTCTTTAACTCAGGTGATCAATCCTCCTAATTTACTCTCAATTAATCATCTTTTTTCTCTCATTCTTTGATTATATACATTCATGTCTGTAATTTGATCCATGAATTTCACAATTTAAATCAAGAATTGCAATCATATATTGACAAGATTGAGTTGCTCTGGTTTTCGTTACTCTGTTTCAGGAACAAGATTTGCGGAAATGCAGAGAGAAATCTCAACCTCCAATGGCGGAATCATCGATTTCGATCAATCAGACGGCTTCGACGGTTACACGTCACTGTACTCCTCCGTCTTCCAGCCGCAAACCTCCTTCTTCTCGCTCACTCCCTCCGATTGCTCCACCGACGAAGACACCGGCAACAGCCCAATCGGTGTCGATTTCATGCAATCGCTCGAAAACGCCTCCTACTCTCGCTTTCTATTGGAGCACCAAGACCTCGTCGACCGCCATAACCTCTGTCTCTCTCACCTCCGCAACGCCGCCAAAGAAGCCGAAGCTCTGCGTCAAGACAACATGAATCTCCGAGTCTCCAACATCAATCTCAACAAGCGTTTAGCTCTCCTGATCCGAGCTTCGGTCAATAACCGCTCTGATCACTACACGTCGTCGTCGGCGTCTTCGTTCGTGAATGATCAGTTTCGTCAGATGTGTATTGGAGAGACGGCGGCTGCGGCGGCGGGGAATGAGAGTGGAGCTTGGGAGGAGGTTTCCGTCGAGAGTCCGACGAGTGTGATTGAGAACGACCGGTTCGAGGGGAAGGTCTCGGACCGGGTTTCGCTGCCCAAGAGTATTTCGGTCCGGCCCAATGACCAAGCCGGTGGGAGCAATGGAGGTCGGGTTCGACGACCGAACCGGATCAAAACCCCTCATCCCTTCACTGGAACGGTTTGACCCTTAACTTCTATTAGTTTACCAAAATGCCATTCTTTATTTATTAATCAGTATTTATTATTATTATTATTATTATTTTGATTGAACCCGTGATTAATTTTGATGCACTGGTTATGTTAAAAGGTATAGAATTTATGGTTGAAAGGAGACATATTAAATTAGGGTTTTGTCTACATATATAATTAATTTAGAAGTGTTGGACCATTTCTCATTTATGTACTTGAATTTCAATAGTGACATTTGAGTTAGAGTTGTGTGATTTGCGATGCAATTTTCATCTGTAGATAATATATACTGCTACAATATCTATAGGTCATGTGAGTGAATATACCATGCGCTGGTACAGTAGGACTTTCTTTTACACTGATGAAAATACAACTCCTGCAGAGTTCATGTCCACTTTGTGAAATTCAACAATTGCGGAGAAATTCTTATATCTGTATTACATATGATTTAAGTTCGAAAGTTGGATCGATGCATTGGACTGTTTTATACGAGTATGAGATGATGACATCACTCTTATTATTTTAGTCAAACACGTTTTACTTGTATTATAACTCGGTACGTGAAATATTACACTCTTATTATTTTAAAATTCTTAAAATTGAGTTAGGAGGAAGAATTAATTTGTATCTCAAGTTGGTAGACACTATATACATATCGAGAAATTCACACGAAAATAAGTGACATAAAAGCATAAAATGAATCCCATATGTTCATGTGTTAATGTTGATAACGTAAACTATTAGTGTGAATTAATTAATACTAGTCTAGATGGTACAAACTCTCGAGTATTCAAGTCAAATAGAAGAACAAAATATAATTAGGGTGTGTTCGATTGCATAAAATTGAAGCTTTAGAATTTCACACAACCGAACACACTAGTATAAATTTGCTTAAACTTTCAAGAAAACGTTGTCTAGAAAGCAGGTTTAAACATAAGGGATTCTTCCATATATGTATGTATATTATATTTAGAGTACCAATTAATTGTCTTTAACTCTGGTTATTTGATTGTCTTGGCTTGTGGGTTGACATGCTAAGAAGCTTTGTTTGGATGATGAGAAAATGCAGCAAAAGGTGTATGTACGTGGAGGAGGGAACAGGAAAGAGGAGCAACAACAGGTTGAATTGGAGGTGTACAACCAAGGCATGTTCAAGACTGAGCTGTGCAACAAATGGCAAGAGACCGGCGCGTGCCCTTACGGGGAACAATGTCAATTCGCTCATGGCATTGCAGAGCTCCGCCCTGTGCTCCGCCACCCTCGCTACAAAACTGAGGTCTGCCGCATGGTCCTTGCCGGTGACCACTGCCCTTACGGCCACCGCTGCCACTTCCGCCATGCCCTCACTGACGAGGAGAGGCTCAGCCTCAGGAGGAGCCCACTCAAACCCAAGCCTGTCAATATGCAATGAAAATAACTTGGAAGATGAGACAGACTTATAATTTCAATGGAATGGAAATGTTTATAATCCTCACAATAATAATGTAGTGGTAGTAGTATATAAAAGAATGAATTCAATATGATGATGACGGTAATAATATCAGTTGGTGGGCCGGATCCGAAGATGTATATGTCAGAGAGATGTAAAACAATAGAGACACATTTGTTGTACGTTTTCATTGTGCTAGACCTTTTTCCTTCTTTTTTTTTTTTTTTTTTTTTTTTTTTTTTTTTCAGTGAAATATGAGATTTAATTGTTACGTTGCATGGGCTTTGTGAGAGAGATGTAAAACTATAGAGACACATTTGTTGTACGTTTCATTGTGCTAGACATTTTTTTTTTTTCTTTCTTTAATTGAAATATGAGATTTAATTGTTACGTTGCATGGGCTTTGTTTTTTTGGGCATCTAATTCCAAACTCTTCAATCCAAGAGTTGGGCCTACCATGTGTTTGGGCCCAACTTTAGACGGAAGAGCGGGCCGGACAATCATCATTCATGTGGCTCGACTCCCACTAGACCTTGTCTTATGGCTCTTTTGACAATGCGAAGCTTCGGTACTCCTCACTTTTGACAGCATTCATCTGCGTATATATGTGTGTATATATGTGTGTAATCGAGGGAGTGAGGGAGGTGTGTAAGTGGAGTGGAGAGAAAGGAGTAAGTGGGAAAGGGAGATAGATCTGCAAGAAATTGTGGGTATGGGGGTGATTGGAAAGGAAAACTTGTTTGTTTGGGTGAGCACAGAAATCCTTTCCAACACCCCCCATTCCTATGATTTCTTGCCGTTCCTCCCTTTCCCTTACTTGTCCTGCTTAGATCTCAACTTGTCCTCTGCTGCTACCAAATATAACATCTTTATTCTTTGTGCTAATTATATTTTAGGGTTTATTGGAGTATTACTAATGATTTTTGAATGGTTTATGAATATTTTTAGTGTTTGATCTGCAATTTCACATGACTTAGCTTTAGTGTAATAAAATCACAGATCTTTAATGACTGCACTAGTTCCCTTGTTATCTCAGTTCTTCTCTCAGAAATTTCAAGTATTTAAACCCTTACTACAATTTGTTTAACTATAACACCAGAAATAAATCATTTTAATGTTAAAGATGCAATCTTGTGTTCTTTTGCTTGCTTGTCTATTTTGTTTAATTATTTACTGAAATTACAAGATCCTAAAGGTTGTTTGTGATGGATAATGATTTCAAACAGTAGTGTTGTATTTTTAGTTGACAAGGGTTAGAATTGTGTCTGTTTTGAAGGTGATGCTCAAGAGATCGAGCGATATTTCTGTTTGTGTAGTTAATTTTAGTTATTTACTGTAATTGCAAGATGCTAAAGGAAAAGTATTTACTGTGATTTACAATTATTTATCTTATTTACGATTTTTTTGCTGTTTATTTGTTTGATTCATCTGTGTATATATGTGTGTGTAATAGAGAGAGAGAGAGAGAGAGAGGGAGATGTTTATGTGGAGAGAAAGGAGTAAGTGGGAAAGGGAGATAGATCTGCAGGAAATTGTGGGTGTGGGATGATTGGAAAGGAAAACTTGTTTGTTTGGGTGGGCACAGAAATCCTTTCCAATACCTCCCATACCGATGATTTCTTGCTGTTCCTCCCCTTCCCTTACTTGTCCAGCTTAGATCTCAACTTGTCCTCTGCTGCTACCTAAGGTAACATCTTTCTTTTTTGTGCTAATTCTATTTTATGGTTTTTTGTTATTACTTATGATTTTTGAATGGTTTATGAGTATTTACTGTTTGATCTGCACTAGTTCCCTTGTTATCTCAGTTCTTCTTTAATACGTAGTAAAGTTCTAGTATTTAAAGTCTTATTACATTTTGTTTAACAATAACACCATGATAATATACTTGAAATATTGCATTTTAATGTTCAAGATGTAATAATCTTTTGTTCTTTTGCTTGCTCGTGTATTTTGTTTAATTGTTTACTGTAATTACAAGATCCTAAAGGCTGTTTGTGGTGGACAGTGGTTACAAACTATAGTGTTGCATCTGTAGTTGAGAGGGTCAGAATTGTGTCTGTTGTGAAGGAGATGCTCCAGGCATGTTTTTCTGCTGCTACCACTAGCGATCTCTCTGTCTTGCTTGTTCGTTAAGATAAGCAGGTATTTTAATGGAGCAAATTATTCTGTCTTAGTGTGAGTTTTTCTAGTTTCTTCTGGAAAACTTCATCTTGCTCAAATTGTTGAGTAGTGATGTGGTAGACCTAGCTAGGTTCTTTGTTTTGTTTTCTTGATCCATGCTTTGCTTCTGTTTTGCTGATTGCTACTTTTGTTATTGACTTCACTTTTCCTAAACAAGATGATTCTGAATCTTGGTAATTTTTAGTGTTTGTGAAAATTGAGGTTAGTTTAGATTGGAAGGGCAGCTTGATTCTTGACTTAGAGGTGCAAAAGCCAAGAGTCGGGCACTCCAAGGTCAAGCAGATTAGACTTCACCCAATTTATTGCCATGGTGAAGGCTATTATATTTTGCTTTAAAAGATATATGAAACAACTGATTGCATCATTGTCTTCAAAGAAATGGACTTGTTTGGAAAAATCGTTTCTTCTTGGTTATTATTTTATTAACTGATTAGTCTGATCTAAAACTAAAAAGGGAAGAATATTTGGGGAACTGTCAAATTTAATTGGCCCGGCCTCTACCCAGCTTCATTCATCATCATCATCATCTTCATCCTCGCCTTTCTCCCATATAGATTGGCCAGCCACGTCAATTTTCTTTTTTCATTCTTTCCTATTATAAATCATGTTTTTTCTAGTATTTAATTTTTTGAAATCATATTAATTTCTTTACCCCATGTAACTTTTGGTCAGCCTTTTTGTCCCTTACCTTCTAGGCAAACAACTCTTGGTGCATCTTCAAATCTACATTGCATATTATCCTACCATCTAAGTCTACTTTCTCTAATTTTATCATCAATATTCGTTATTCCTAGTTTTTTCCTAACTTGTTTATTACTAATCTTGTCTCTTCTAGTCACTCCGAAGTCTCCAATTATCCATTGTAGCATCCTCATTTCTGCTACATTAACATGTTCTTGTTTCTTTTTTCGTGCCCAACACACTGCTCCATACAATTTAGTTGACCTAATAATTGTCCTATAGAATTTTGTTTTTAATTTATTTGATATTCGTTTGTGACATGAGATACAACTAATTAACCCTAAATATCGAAAGTAGTTATTTTGAATCGCATACTATTGACTCTAGTTCATTGTAATTAGTAAATTCAGTGCAATGTTTTCTGGTGTAAGGTCGTAGCCTAAAACATGAAGATTATAAGATTATGACTTTGATCAAAAAAAAAATATTATAAGATTATAAGATTATCATATAATCATAAGATTATAAGATTATGATTATATGAAAATATTTTTTTATTTATCAAAAAAAAAATAAGATTATGATTTTGATGTGAATAGCATTCAGGGTTTCACAGCAAAGATTTGCATTCATCTCAGGAGAAAGTCGAAAGCATGGGCAAGCTTAAGATTTATGTATGTTTGTATTTTGATAAAAGAAATGAAATATACACAAAGACCAGTGAAGAACAGCAACTTTATTTAAAAATTGTTAAAATTTGAAAAATAAGGAGGCTGCTAGGAAGGTCACAATAATGGACTTAACATTATAGGAACCTTGACCAGTACTTATAAGTGAGAACATTTTCCAGGTCAAATTGGTTGTTTACAAAGAGAAAATGAATATTTTTTTATTAAGGGTTAACATCTAACTGGTTTAATATGGCTTGGAATATAATTAAATTTGACAGTTAATTAACTTTTCACTGATAAGTAAGCAAGAAAACTATTAAATATATACATAGATTGATCTAATATAGTAGAGAGAAATCTCAACTGGATGTGAGACTAACCCAATAAGCTATTGTGCTTATATGGCATTTAAGAACTATACTTAATCTTTATGTGCTAATAGTTGTTAAAGACAGTCTCTAATGTGTAGGCTTTATCTGAAGGATGGTTGTAACCTGTTTTCTCTAGTTTTGAATTAGTTTTGTAGCTGTGCTATAGATTGTCACTATTGTCTTAAGCATTCCTCTTAGTTTTGATTGGCTAGGTAAGCCTAGCTTAACACATGCTTCGAAGTTGCACACACCAGGAAAATAAAATTACTTAAATTAATAATTGAAATGATGGAAAATCGGACATGTCAATGGACTTGTTCAACTGTTTACTGTACTTTTCCTTGTTTAATTAAGATGAATCAAAAGGATATGGAGATCACATTTTGTTTCTTAATACATGGCTCCGAGCTTGACCTTGGTTTTTTCTACCTTCATTGTGCAAATGGTTTTAGTTTACTGCAGATTCCTATGTTTAGTATTATGTTGCAACAGTCTTTAACCACTAGTTTTTGTTCTTCACGTGAATTTATGGCAACCACAAGCATGATTGTGTGAGAATATGAAGAATTTGTGAGCTCAAACCATTCAAATGAGCCTTTAATTTGAGTTTTAGATTCTTTAGAATCTTTTTTTATTTTTAGTTAGTTTTGCTAATATGCTACTGTTGTTAACTTTAGATCTCGTAGATTTTGCAAATTCACATGACACACACATCATGCTTTTACTTCTTCCTACTTTTGATGATGTAGTGATCTGAACATGATACATATGTGATGAATATTCCACTTTTGAGAGTTATGCTCAAATCTAATTTTCTATTATTTGAAGACGACTAAAATTTTCTAGATTACATTTTTTTTTTATTCTATAAACAAGCATGAAAGGAATTATTTTTTTTTTGTGTTCAAGAAATAAATTTCAGAAGAATCTGCATCTGTATTGAATTTGTTTTTTGTATTACAGGAGGCAGCCAAAACTGTTGGGATGATCTAACTTATGGACTATAGCTAGGCTTGTGGCTTTGAGCTTGTAATTCTATTGATTATTATTATTTTCGGTGGGTATAATTAAATATAAGAATCATGATGGTTTGTGGAATACATTTTTCTCGGATTTTTGCAGATGAAACAGAGGATGTTTGGATATAGAAATTACAATATCAGATTTTTCTTCCCCTTCCAAATTCAAAGTGTTGCGGTTCATGTTTCCACCTGAAAATTCAGGATATTTTAGATACTAATTTGGCACTAATGCCTCTGGTTCCTGTGATCTCAAGTCCTATAGTCTCCATGCTTTATTGCATGGATTTGATGTTACTACTTGCTAATTCAATGAAAGAATGTTGGATTTGTAGCTGAGAAGAATGTAATGTGAATTTACCTGGTTCAAAGTTTGATCATGAGATTGAAGCTTTAGGCACATAAAAATGGATACATTTCTGAAGTCACTCTATGGTTCCTATTTTTCCTTGCGAATTCAATTTTTATTTTATTTTATTATTATTATTAATTTTTTCTGGTTTTGGGTAGCAAATTGAAATAAGATGTCATTTCTCCTGGCACTCAATAACTTTTCAAGGTTTGTAAACTTCAATTGCACCAATAAGATTTTGGATTCTAATTTTAAATGGTTTGAGGAGGAATGCAGGAAGCAAAACCTAAATACAACAATCATTTTCCATTGGCGCCCTAAAGCCCTGTTTTGCATGCCTTTTGTTTTTGGGTTGTTACAATGTCAATTTTGGCAATAAAAATATGTTTGGTGCAGCCTTGTTTTATTTTACGTAGTGTTAAAACATTTCGTGAACAGTGGTCTAAAATCAAAACATCAAAAAGTTATTTTTTTTTATTTTGACAACTGTTCGTGGTTCAAAATCATAATAATGGCGTAACATGAGTTAAAAACAAAATATCTAAAATATTGTTTCTAAACTTGCTTTTGCTTTTTTTTTTTTTTAAACACTTTTATAGTAAAAATATTGTTTCTAATTTAGTCAAAAACAAAATGCTTAAAACAAACCGTGTGCTAAACGATCCTAAATATTCTTGTATGATTGCAACACAACGATGTGCCTATCAAAAAGAAAATCCCAGTGGTAGCTCGTCTTAGAAATATGACTTGTTATTGGTTAGGAAGCACAAGTGATATGAATACTAAAAGAAAATAAGATACTGGTATGTCAGGAAAATGTAATAAAAAAATTAATAAATTTTATTTATATATAAATATGTGTGTATATAAATTAATTTTTGGTTAATTTTTTAACAATATTATTAATTTAAATGCAATCATTAATATAACATAGAAGTTTATCTTATAACTAGCCATCACATAATAAATTTAAAACTTTTTTTAACAATTATATATGCTATTATAGTTGGAAAATTTCCATCTTAATGTTCAAATTTGTTAGAAATGTGTTATGAAGTATGTAAGGGATTAATCCCGTGAAGCCACTTGGCACATCTTACATCACCAGAATCAACTCGAGTCAGGTATTGCTAAGAGCACTAGCCGCTTTGGCAAACAAGAGAACGAGGAGCCCACGCACCTCGACTAAAGCACTGTTAATCACATTAATGAGTCTTAGCTACCTGTTACGCCCCGCCTATGGAGGTTGTACCACGCAGGTGCTGAGTAGGACGCTGCATAGCGAATGCATAGCATGGGAGTTTCTAGAGTCTTCCGGAGTTTCTAGAGTTGTGTGGAAGATTCTAAATATGTGTAGAAATGTGTAGTATATTGTAGAAGTGTGTAAAAGGTTCTAGAGTTCTCTATAATTGTGTGGAGTAGTATGGAGAGTTGTAGAATGTTGTACATACTTGTAAATATATATGCAAGTGTAAAGAATGTGGAAATTTTTTTTAGAGAATCGATCTCCACCATTGGTTAGAATGCATCCTAGTTGTCCATTAGGAATGGGGATGCCTATAACTAAGAGTGGGACTTCATTTTGTAGGCAACAAGTTCTAAAGTGAGTCTTGAGAGCTTTGAAGTAATAGAAGTGTTCTTTCCTTTTCAACTTAAGTGTCTAAGTGTGTGTGAGTGTACAAGCCAAGTGAAGAGAGGGCGAGGGTCACTACAACACTAGTAAGCACATGAGCGGAGTGTGTTGGCTAAGGTGGGCATCGGAGTTAGGCTGACCAAGTACTTGTGAGAGTAAAAGTAATGTCTCGGTGCCGCACGGGAGTAGCTAGAGTGATTCTGAAACTTTAAGCCCGTGACATACCGATACCTTTGAAAAAATGGACATTTAATGCAGTGATGCCGTATGAGAAGTCTCGAAGGACTTCTCTACTCATGTAAGGGCCTGAGCCTATAAATAAAGGCCGAGACACTCATAACAAAGGCTTGGTTTTCAAGATTCTATTGTATCTTGTATTTAAATATCATCCCCTTTGATTTATAAGATTAAAGGATTCTAAAGAACCCCGACAAAGTATTTAGTAGCGTCAGATACTCAGAAACACCCGTAACAAAGGCTTGGTTTTCAAAATTTTACTGTATCTTGTATTTAGATATCACCCCCTTTGATTTATAAGATTAAATAAAGAACCCTCACAAAATATTTAAGAGTGTTAGATATTTAGAAATTTAAAACTATATTTAAAATGTATCGAACGCGTATCCACGATATCCGTAAAAAATCACATTCGACGTACTTGGGTATTCCAAGACCACGTACTTGGGTATTCCAAGACCAACTGGGACTAGTGCCAATCCACTACCACTAACTAGTTAATAAAACTATGTATATAATAATACTGGCATTACTTTGTAAATTACTATCAAGTTTTGTAAATTTTCTTCTCTCTCCCAAAGTGAAAGCTTGAAAGTGGTGATTAAAGTCCACGTGGAGGAGAGTTTCTTACGGAGGAAAAAAAATATCTATATAGGTGTGTCCATATCATGACCCCCTCCAATATATGGTACTTTCGAGGGCATGTACAACACAATTGTGTGGTTGATGCAATTAGATAATATAACCTTTACTCCTAATGAATGTTCGTAAAAGTGTGCGTGAGTATTTAGGGGAAAAAAAATACTTGCTTTTAGATCAAATGATAATAATACACACGGCTTAGCAAAGCTACACTATAAGAACTCATACTAGAGATGATTATGTATCAATTTAAAACTTATTTAATCCGTCATTGATATCAGTCACTAATACAATTGGTGCGATTAAGTTTCTCTCTTTCTTATATAATCTCATACGATTTTGATTTTGAAATATTTGAAAGACAATAGCACGATACAAGTGTCATTTGATCGCGCACATATCATCAAAAAAGCAAATTTTATATATTATACTTTGTTATGCAATTAAATCAAATATTTTTAAAATGCAACATCGATGTTAAAGTGTTGCATTTTTAAAATAAAATTGGGACGATGTTGTATCTTCACGTAAAATGTTGTGTGTGTATTATTATAAAAAATGTTGCAGTATATTAAAATTAAACGAAAAGTTATATAAAAGAGGAGGTTGATTCCAGCCAACATTAAAATTAAAATAAATAAATAAACTCACACACAATCAACTTACCTACCCACTTTAGCTACAGTAAAAAGTAACAATCCGTACGGGATCCAATGAGGCGTCGTGCATTCTCATTTGCTGCCAGTGCCACCATTCGCTAACTCTTTCTGCACTATACACCTCTTCTCTCTCTCTCTATATATATATATATATATATATATTCGTGTGTATATACTTATTCGTGTCCACAGTCGGTCCACAAACAACTGTTGATTTCACCTTTATTAATTTCGATCTTTGAAGCTTCCTCCTCTTTTAGTGTATTCGCCATGGAGGGGTCCACAGCTTGGGCTTGAAACGGCTAAAATGGGTTGAGGGACTCGAACGTGGGTCCCGCATTTTGCTAGCTGTGTTAGACTCTCGAACCTCACTCGCCGCTTTGTGTCCACCCATCAGCTAGCACTGAGTGGACAATTGTCGAGACTACTTTATCAATTTCACATGAACCCTAGATTGCCTTCTCGAGTATCTAATGATTGATTATTTCATAATATCCGGATACATTTTTTACACCGACTAGATAGAGTAGTGATATTTAGTTCCACAATTTTAATTTATTTATCTAATTAAAGAAATTTTTATTTATTTAATCGTGTGAATAAATTCAAATATGAATTCCATTCACTATATTAATGGATAGAAACTTTTTCAATTAGATAAATGGGTTTGAGATTTTTGTATAAGAATATATGTAGTTCTTTTCAATGCATTTATATATATTTTTAGTAAGGGACGGAGCTAGAAATTAAAATAAGAGGAGACACATTGTAAAAAAAAAAATTAATAAACATGACAATAAATATAAAATTTTTAAATCAGAAGGCAAACAAGAAAAATTATTTAAAATAATATATCAATTACGAGAAATTTGAAAGGGAAAAAAATTAGACTTTGATTCAAAAAGAAAATTTTGACATTTTTTAAAGGAAATAAATGAACTTAAAGAGTTACAAAGAGAAGATATGCAAAATTTAAAAAATAAAAATTTTAGGGGGTCATTATATGAATTTTTTCATATATACATATAAAAATATATAAATTTAGTATATATATTATAGTAAAAGGAGCCACCCGGGGGGGAAGTGCACCCCTATTTTCAATTAATTTCTTATACATTTTAACAAAAAAAAAAAAAAAAACCCGTTAAAAATAGGTATAGTTCAACCCATTATTTCATATTTCAACTCTAAAATAAATATGTTAAAAACAAATGTAACTTGTAAGCACATTAAAAAAATATATAAAAAAAAAAGGAAAAAAAAAAGGGGTTATAGCATATCCTACATTGCTTTATATGGACATGCTAATTATGAGGATTTAAGAGTATTATATGACGTATATATTGCGCCAATTATGATGTAAATATATATCTTACAAGAAGTTAACCATCAGTAAAAATGGATGGCCAGGATGAAAATTGACAATTAGGAAGTGGAGCACCCACTGAGGAGGAAACTGATGTCTCATATATGTGTAGTCTAAATAGGCTTTAGACTTTTTGGGTCTATCCTAATTGGTCTCATACGTTATTGCTTTTAATCTTTTATCATGTCTATCGAATCATCATAGTCAACTTCACCAGATTAATTACTCTCACCATTGCGCAAGTTAAAAATCAGAATATTCTCCCCCATCCATAAAAATCACTTTATTTTGTCGGAAGATGATTTTCTCCTAGGGTCCCTGCACCAAACCACATTATTTTGGTGCGGTTTAGATCGGTCGGTGTATTTGTTAGAACGAATTTTAACCGTTTATATATGTATCATTTTATATTTTTTTTAGTACATTGTAATGCAACACATATTATACTATTACTCTTATATATTGCATGATTTGTAATATCGATTGCAATCGAATATAATAAATTTAGATAAAGTCAGTATAAACTGATTGATACAAATCTCGTATTAAATTTTTTTAAAAAAAATACTTATCAGCCGATATGACAAATCATAGTTGGCCACCCTGATTTTGTTTTACCATATAAAATGTCTCCAAATGTGTAAATCAAAACAACACCGTTTTGATACACCAGTATCTGTATTGGATTGAGATCGTAAGGCTGTACTTAGTTGTTCTCAAAGATGACAATGGATTGCAATCAATGATTGAGACAATCCACCAACTTTTTGTGGTCATTAGAAGCACAGTATCACCCCCACACACACGCATGTATGTTTATGTCTATATCCATACACACACATCATGTAGAGGAAGATG